CATCATACTATTTTGAAGAAGTCGAAATCCCATTTGAGGGCCTTGGTGGAGCATTTAGAGTGAGTTAACCCTTGCTGCTTTGGAGGTGAAGCCTATTGACTCAGCTGAAGAGGCACACCTCCATTTGTGGCAACTTGATGTTGCTTGCTTGAGGTGATAGCTGAATTGAAGCGTCTCTAGGATAGGCTTGCTGACCTGGAGATGTGACGCCAAAAGTTTATCTCATAGCAACAGAAATGGACATGCAGAATGTGAACAGTAGGCGCAGCCTGCAAGTGGGAAGAAGAGTTATTGAACATGTAATATATAGTCTCCAAGATTGTTGTAACCTATGATGACAATTTCAAGCCTGAGTCTGGTAGCGTTGATAGGATGGTGAAGCATGGTGACGACAGGGGCTAAGTTTGAATTATCAACTATGAAGAGAAGTGCCAAGAGGCTGAAACACTTGAAGTTGTCAACATGTTGTCTTTATCTCAATTGATCTCCTGCAAAGGGTTTGCATGTTTAGGGAGCAAAAATGCTACCACCTTTCAAGTTGGAGGGTGTTGCAATGCAATTTTTTTTGGTAATTAGGTTCCAATCAGGAAGTTAGTTGAGTAATCTAGTAGCTGTATGCTGCTTGGATGTCAGATAATAAAGATGCTGTCATCACAGCATGTTTGTAGCTTAATTCGAGGGTGACGCTTTTAATTCAGCCTCCTGTAAGTGGGCAATATATAGCAGTAATAGACAGGATACCTTACCTATCCCTTCGTTTTTTTTTCTGAAATCGTCGGCAGCGGAGTCCCCTACCTATATTTTTGTATATATTAAGGTAAATGTGGATTCTTTATTTTTTTGCAGAGCTTGCTGTTGGAAACATTGTGAGACGTGTTTTGCATATAATAAAGGAGGAGGATATATCTTCCACAGCAGTTGGTATCGAAGGTCTTTCTGTTACTGTTGACAGTGATGATGAATATGACAGTGAACATGATGATCGCCCTGCATTATCTGCTGCTGTTCTTGCTGCACATGCTAGAAATGCCCTTCGTGCACCTTCATTGCAGACTCTGCTAGAAGACATTCCTGTGAGTCCTGCAATTTCCCGCACTGCATCATCAACTGGTGACTCAGACGGAAAAAGTAAATGTATGTTCACATCAGTTGTTTCCTGCTTGTTGCCATAGTGTTCTCTTTCACTACTAAATATTCCACCTGAACTGGTATTCTTTGTTCTTTCTGTATAATTTGGAGAAACATGTTTTAAGAATAATATTACCAGAGTCATTTATGTTAACCTTGTAGGGGTTTTATGCCTTTTTATGTCATTATTGGCACTGAAGTCATGTTTGTTCTACTATAGCAGCTGGAGATAAGAGCTCGACTAGGAAACTGAAGCATGATGTCATCACAGCCATTGGTGATCTTATTGATGAGATTGACTCATGCTATGAGCCGATTTCTGAGCAAGCTGTGGAACTTATTCACCAAAAGTATGATCTTTGCTTTGGCTAAGATACATCAGTATTGCTTTAAGCTAGTATCAACTGCCTTTTTTATTTAAGCTGCTTCAATGGTGGTATACAATGTTGAACTGATGCATATGGTAGGTATTCTGGATATATTTAATACATATATCCTACAGCACGTCTGAAACAGCAAATACTGGTGTCTTTCAGTTGTTCAAACTTATTAGTCAAGTTATGAAAATTTAAAATGGGCCATGGGATGGCTTATCATGTAAATTACTGTTACATCTAGAAAATGCATTGGTAAAAATACTGCATCAAGTTATTAAAAGAAAAGTTATTTCATGCAATAAGCTAAGAAGTTTCTCAATAATTTATTTATATTCTGATGCAAAGAAAACTTTATTTTTCATATAAGTAGTCCATTGCAACATCCTTTGCATTTTGCTCGAGAGTAATGTGCCTAAGAAACATTTGCCTTTCGATATGTAAGCATTAAAAGATTGACCAGTATCTGAAACACAATGGTGTGAAGTCTTAATTACTCTGTTAATTAGATATTTAGATATGGAGTTTCTCTATAGAATATAGATACCTCGGTACCAGCTGAAATATATTGCTTGCTTACTGACACTAATTGTTTATCATTTGCCACAGTGAGGTAATCCTAACTCTAGGCCGTTCTAGAACCGTCAAGGAGTTCCTGTATGCTGCAAAAGAGAAGAAGCGATCTTTTCGTGTATTTGTTGCTGAAGGTGCTCCAAGGTTTGTGCATTATTTGAACTTTATTGTAACCTAATTGTTTCTTGTGCACAGTATACTCTTGCCTGACACAGTGTCACAATGTTTATGTTGGAATCAGATATCAGGGCCATGTTCTCGCAAAAGAGCTGGTTGAGAAAGGTGTACAAACTACAGTTATAACAGATTCAGCAGTTTTTGCTATGATATCTCGAGTTAACATGGTATGTGTGTAGTCATTGTTAATTCGCAAATTCTGTCTTTCCATTATAATTCCAATCCTGATTTTATTTGAAGGTCATAGTTGGAGCGCATGCTATCATGGCAAATGGTGGAGTCATTGCACCAGTAGGCATGAATATGGTTGCACTTGCTGCTCAAAGGCATGCTGTGCCTTTTGTTGTGGTTGCCGGCAGCCACAAGGTTGATTTCTGCACATTACCCCCAAAATTTTGCAACCTAAGTAGCCAAATAAGAATCAGGGTCTACATCTACATTTTACTGTTATTTCTAATTGTATACATGTGTCCATAATTTAATGTTCAATACTTCGATGGTGCATTCTCCTGCAATTAGCTCACTCGTTACATTGTCCTTATTTAATGAAGAAAAAGTGGACTTGCAGCACTTATGAGGATGCTGTTAAATTTCATATTGTGATGATACCATCATAGTATCTTAACCTAATGTTTTCTTATTTCTGGCTTTCTGCGATGTAATGTTATCTACAGATATTCTACTCATCTCAGGAAATCTCTTTAATGCTTCCATTTCCACAGGTGTCATGCTTAACTAGACGCCTGATATACAGAGTAGCATAGGTATATATCATAAAGTGCATTCACTGTTACCGTTTCTTTTTTAGCATCAAGTAGGAAAACCGGATAATCCTGTCAGTGTGCAAACAGGATTAATTCTGAGGCCTCTCAGTAAGAACACTATTTACTTGCAAGGTGTCACTTAAGTGCTCAAGTGAAGTATTTATCACCTTATAAAATTTCGTAATTTCTTAATTAATGCTCCCTCCATACTCCAATTCACATTTTTGGCCATTATCTTTTCAATTATTCGTTGGCAAAAAGTTAGCAAATGTTTATTGACATCAAAATACTTTTGATGAAAAACCTGCTAGTAGTTTTCTTTCCTAGAAGTCTAAATACTTGTGTGTATAGTAGGGGCTCAGTTTTTTAATGTTGACTGCACACATTTGAGAACCATGAGTAAAGAATAATGGAAATAGGTGGCATTCACAATTTTTGAATGCCCATACAACCCAAAGGTATCAGATGGATTTGAAGTAGAATGTTTCTAAAGCTTCCATTTTAATTGCCTTCTTCCTCATGTGCAGCTGTGTCCATTGTATCCACACAACCCAGAAGTGTTACTGAATGAACTCAAATCGCCGTCTGATTTGCTCGATTTTGGCGAGTTCTCAGATTGCATGAATTTCAGTACTCAGGATGGCAGCCCCTTGCTAAATGTTGTCAACCCAACATTTGACTATGTGCCACCGAAGCTTGTGAGCCTATTCATCACTGACACGTAAGTTCTCAGCATTTTCTGTGATCTGGTAATAGAAGAGAATTATATGTACTTGGTGCTGCGTGCTTCAGCAGTTTTTTGGTGCCTGGTGTGCTCGTTCCATGCAAGTTTCCTTATGAGAGAACTATATTGGCTTCAAATCAATTTCTTTTCTTAGTCTTACCGCCTGTGACCGGAAGGTCCCGGGTTCGAGTCGCGGTCTCCTCACATTGCACAGGCGAGGGTAAGGCTTGCCACTGACACCCTTCCCCAGACCCCGCACAGAGCGGGAGCTCTCTGCACTGGGTATGCCCTTTAGAGTGTGCATAATTGCATTTATCTGAACTTCTGATTAAGAATTGAGTAAATTTCGGATACCTTTGGTTTCCTACCTCACCTGGACATACACTATTGTCATATCCATAGACTTCATGCACCTACATTGAATTGATCCAGTTCGTTTTCCTGATATAGTTGTCTTTGCCTGGCAGTGGAGGGCACAGTCCGTCCTATATGTATCGTCTTATTGCTGAGTATTACTCAGCTGATGATCTGGTAGTGAGACGGAAGGCAACATCTTGAAAGAAGACAAAAGCACTGCAAAGTCTTCTTGGTGTTCTGATGGTAGGATTTGCAATCTTGTTGGAATCCAAGTGTTCTTGTACTCATCATGATCTGTTGCCTGTAGAGCGATGTTGCTGTCTTCAGTGGAATCACCTGTTTGTGGGTCCAGTTGCTGTAAAATGCAGGAAATCGATGCAAGCATTCTCGCGCATTGGTTGTAACCATTGCGGCATTTTGAGTGTAAACTGTTGAGGGAATGGAGCGTGACGTCATGGAAGAATTGTTTTGGTTCAAATATATGGTTGACTGGTTGTGTAGAGGGTGGCTGTTTCTTATCTGGCCATAGGTTAATCTGGGCCTTGGCTGGTCGAAATTTTGTCTGTTATAAATTCCAGCAAGCTGTTCGATATGTGTATGAAGTTTGCTGAGCCATTTTTCTTTCTATATACTATTGTATATATGATATTGCTCATTTCATGCTTCCTTTTTTGGTGATTCAACTGCGTATATGCTGGGAAAGAAAAAAAAAAGAATTCCCCGACAGAATTTTAAGGCTTATACAAATTAGTGGAAGTGCTGTAAATTTGTGTTAGGAAATGAAAGCCTATGTGTCTGCACGCTGAGCTACTATGTGATAGGCACCTGCATTTCTCATCTCGTATGACAATCTAGCACCAGTAACTGGCCGTCGTAGAGTACATCAGAAAATCTCTGAGATAGTCAGATGGACACTGGACCGGCGGCGAACTGGACGCACACGCACCGCAGGAGGTCGGACTCCGGCGGGACCATCGGTGGCAGCGAGAAGTGGCCGTACGTGGAGCTACCGCTGCGGAGCTTGTGCCCATGGTCACCAGCGCGGCCACGGTGTTCTGGAAGATGCCCTGCCCGGCGGCTGCCACTGCGGCCACGGGGGCCGTCCCCGCAGACGCGCCGGCGTGGCCTCTGCTGGCCTCGAATACGGCCTCCTTGGTGGCCTCGCACTCGCGGACGAGCCTGGACTGGAGATGAGCTCCGTGGCGAAGAAGGGCTGCCCGAGCACCTTCTCGATGAAGGGCAGCCGTAGGAGCCGCCCGGTGCGCTTGTCGTACTCTTCTTGAGGATCTTGGCCAGCCCTGCAAAGTTTGACTCCACAATTATTTGACTCTGTCCATCTTGCATAAAAATATAGTACCACTACTGACTCATGGGCTGCCAATTGAAGAGTTCAATCCTGATGAAATTTGCAGTCAGAAGTCACACAGACTCTGGGGCTGCCACAGAAGATGACATGGTTACGTACCCACGGAAATAAAAACAAAAAAGTTTGTGGATCTTCACAATTAGAACTGCACCACTACCTGGAAACGGGCTGGTGCCTGCAAAAGTCGTTCTTGCTACCTCGTATGATCGCCTACCTCGTCAATGAGTAAGAACAACCACATTCACCGCCTAATTCATCAGGAAAAACCTCAAATATGGAGTAAATTATGTGTAGTGCAATCTGGCAAAGTGCTTCAGCTCGCAGGGCAATGTGATCTACTCCTTCGTAGGTTACATTTAATATCGACTGAAATTAACTGATCATGGCCTATGCTTTAATAACGTGTTCGATTTGAGAAATCAAGTTCTCTGTAATACGGTGGTCCGTCGGGAGGCATCCCATAAATATAGTGACGGATCAACATAATCCATTCCACAAGAAAAAAAGGCTGGGTGGTTCAGAGTTAGAATCAAATGACCCCCAATAGACACTTGCAGTTGCGCCAAGTGGCAAACATATATACGTCTGCGCCATTTCACGCCAGAAGCAAATCAAAACAGAGCTACTCATAGAAACAGAGAGGGGGCACCGGGAACACAAGGAAGCAAACCTGTGTAGTTGATGGCGCTGTAGTTGAGCAGCAGTACCATCTCCCCGTGCAGGTCCACGATCTCCTTGCGCACACTCCTCGTCTCCGCTGCCGACGACGGCAGCCGCCGCAGCGCGTCCTCGGCCACCTTCTTGGCCGTCTCCTTCAGCTCCTGCACAGCACAGACGACGACGATCAAGACGCGCAATCGTACGTCACACTCACACCGGTGCGCACTCGCATTGACACCACGCACGCGTATGGAGGGGGGATCGGAGGGCAGGCAGAAGGTCGAACGTGCCCTGTGCCGTATGACGAAGTCCTCCTCCCGCTCCAGGAAGAAGGCGTTGAACCGGTCGACCTCGGCGTCGAGCAGGCGGAGGAAGGCGGCCTCGGCGGCGCTGCCCCTGCGGCGGCGGGGCGAGGAACCAGCGGCCGAGACGAGTCAGACGAGCCTCTTGAGGCGCTTGTACGCCGGGAACTTGTGTCTCCACTCCGGGAGGCTCTCCTCCACCTGCTTCTTGAGCCTCTTGCCAAACTTCATCTTCCCTCACGATGCTGGCTCGTACGGTTGCTCGATAAACGCAACAGCCGCTAATAAGATCTTCTGAACAAAAGATGTATTATGCAGGTGATTCCTTTTCATATAGAGAGATATTTGTGATGGTGTAGTAATGGCAATTTATTTGGGTTAGGGGTGATGTTATGGAAGGAGGGGAGGGGAGATGAGATGAGATGAAAGATTTTTTGGGGAGGAGTCAATGCAAGACTGAATGTGAAGAGTGCAAGGTGGGTTTAGTACGCCGGGAATATCTCACGGCATATGCCATGGTTGGCATGGAGGTCGGTGAGGAGAAGGTAAGCCTAATGATGGTACGGTGCACAACGTGACTGAACAAGGTTTTCACCATGACAACACCAAGAGGTCGTGGATTTGTTGGTCTCAAGTCTTAATCAACCGTATTCGTCTAGTCTCAACAAGTCTCAACCAACCGTATTCGGCGCTGACCGTGGCATGTCCAAGCAACCGGCCGGGTCACAAGGAGAATATGCTAAAATTTGGCTTATGTTCGATGCTCATGCTAATTTGTTGCGATTGAAAGTACTGTTTATTTGCTAAAAAGTACTGCTGAACTAGTTCAAGCGATGGTGAAGCGTCAGAGACGGCTAGAGCTATATGGCAGAAAACGTCAAGAATATGTGCAAGGCATATTCCGTACATGCCACGACTGGAGCCTAGCTTTGAGTCTCCAGAGAGGATTTGCTTTCCCGTTGATCACGCTTACTTTCCATGGGATCTTCAAAAGTGCACAGTTGACATTCTACAGAAGCTTCCTATTGTCACTCTCATCTCTACTATAATTGACCAATCAGAATTATACTAGGTCCCCAGGAAAAAGTTCTCCGCTGAGAGCCTCCAACCATTGTACATACAGGAAAAATGCACACAATAATTCATTTGCATTAAAATCAAGGACTAATAAAACACCTAAACCAAATCCGATGACCACGATTAGACGTGGGATGCCAGGCTTCTCACCCCCGCGCCCTCCTCGCACGCCCGCGCGTGACTCCCTCAGTCTTTTTTATTTTTCTGTCTTTTCTCTGCTCAAACGACCGCCGAACCTGGATCTGGATCCCACACGCCGACTCCTCTCCTCACGCCCAGCACCGGGACACGGCGTAGCAGAAGGGCACCATGACGTGCTTCCGCGAGAGCGCGTCGACGCGGTGCCACCGGCAGCACACTAGCGACGCGGCCTCCCGGTCGCGCGGGTCCTCGACGAACCCCATCACCAGGTGCAACATCTCCTCGGGAACCCAGTGCCGCCGCCGCCGCCGCCGATACTCGGCTGGTCAGCCGCCGGGGCTCTGGCGCCCGCGCCCATCGATCCCGATCGGGTTGTGGCTCATGGGCGGATCAGCGCCGCAGCTCGGTGGCTTTTCTATCGCAGCCACAGCAGCTCCACGCCCGCTCGCCGAGGGATCTGCTCCAATGAGGGCGGAGACATGGGATTCCTCTCCTCATCTGCTCCCACTCGCTCCCCGATTCGGTGGTGCTTGGAGGTGGAGCAAGCAGAGGAGAGAATTATTGGAGGGAGAAGAGAGTGGAGAGGAGGACGAGGTGGGGTGAGGATTGGGGAAGCGGCGTTTACTTCTGGCGATCCAGATGGGGATGCCGAGACACGCCGGCTGGGGGCCTGGGGCTTTGAGGAATTTGGGAATTTGCTCGGTGCACACGCACGACGACATGGACACACGACTCACTGCATGGCCAAGGGCTGGTGATGAATAGGACAGTACTTCCTCCCTCCAAGGAAAAAACGCAGGGAGTAGATTTGAACCGGGGGCGGCATGCCAGAGCAGCTGCACCATGTGAGCGTTAGTTGTAGAGATATATTTCCAGCATTTGGATTTTTTAGGTTGTCTCATCTTTCTGTGGACCTTAGTAGTAAGTGTATCACGGTATCATGTTGTTGCTGTGATGCACTGATTCCCAACAAATTTTGCTTCAATTTCATGTTTATCAGCACGCGCCTCGTCGGTCTCTTGGACGGCGGGACTCGACGTCCGGCGCGCCGCGATCCACGGCGGCAACGCCCACGACCTTCTGCGCATCCTGTCTGCCTGAGGTCGCTTCATCCTGCACCCAGCGGAGAAGCACACCGAGGTAACATAACTTAAGATAATTGCCTGAAGAATGATCAATTTGTAGCTATAATAACTCTATTTCTCTAACAACAGCTATAATAACTCTATTTCTGCCCGCCACTCCTGCCAGCAGAAGATCCTCGCTGGTACTTCGCAATGTCTACGCCGAGAGATGCATGTGATGCGCTAAACGATATCACCAACATCGCAGGTATGCTTTCATTATGTATATACAACACTTTTTTGGGTGTTTTCCTGATTTCCTATATATATCCAAACGCCCACTTTAGATGAGGCCTCGCGGAAGAGGGAGGAAAGAAAATGCAACAAAGGATTCATCGAGCTGAGATGTCCAGCGAACAAATAGAAGAGATGAAGAGGAAAAAACGTGAATACATGCGTGACTACCGAGCACGAAAAAAGGCTACATCCCAAAATAGTAGCATTTCCTATGCTTTGACTGAAACAGTGCCCACAACACCACCCATGGGTACTTAATCTCTTCGATACTTTCTTTATTTCTATATAATGAAGCCAACTTTTGTACAACTGACAAAAATAAATATATGCAGATATTAATTACTCTGAGATGGACCAAATCACGCTAATTATATTGGACAAGGAAAATATCCCACCAGATGCACACGGGAATCATGGCCACGTCGGCATTGGCACCGCGACCACATCATCAGGCAATGCACTATCTGTGGCCAACGGTAAGTTTATTGAGTCAAAATAACTTTATTTTAATCTCTACTATAATATAATAATGCTTGGCCCCACAAACGAGACCTGCAGACATAGCTAACGATAAGATGGATGAAAAGAATGCGCAACAACGGAAACGAAGAGCTGAGATGACCGACAAACAAAGGGAAGAGAGTAAAAGGAGACACCGGGAGTACCAATGTCAATACCGAGCACGGAAGAAGGCTAAATTGCAAAATATTAGCACCGCAGCTGTTGTGGCTCAAATAGGGCCGGCATCCTCACCGGCAGGTGAGAAATATCTACAACCTATGCATTTCGTCCACCGCCTGATATATCATGAACCTCCATTCATATGTGAAGGTGCGAATTTTGGAACTGGATTATCGACTATAGTGGAAAATGACGAGACAATAGAGCCCACAGATTGGCTACACAGAAATGATAATTATGTGCCAGGGCGTAGAGGCCCACGTACGGTTCTTTCTCGACCATTACCTACTTCCGGCGATGCAGGTCAGCACATCAACCACATCCTTGATTTTTTCTCTGTTAACAAAATAAAACCATCGTGATATATTTTTTATTGTGCTTATATATATATATATATATTATATAATATTATATATCTATGTAGAATTTCATTTGCATCAGCTGTGTGGCAACCATGTAAGTGGCAACAGCAAGGGGGATGAATTCGACCCTGAACTATTCGAACCAACACATAATGGAGAAGACGGTGACGAAACTGGCATGGACGCCAGTCATGGATTGCACAACAAATACTTATACGATGATGATGGAACCATTCATCGACATACGCGAGGTACCACAATGACATCTATATGTCATCTTTGATTTCTTGAGTGATTATATACGTCTTTACATGAACCATAATATTTATCTCTATTATATAGTAAAATAATATGCGTCTTTACATGAAGGATATATACGTCATTTTGATTACTATAATGTCTCGCACACAGTCATGATTATGAGTCATATCGCGTGCTTGTAGAGGGTACGGCTGCACATAGTGTGACGGATGATCCATATGAATTCATCTACCAGAACCTGCCACAAAGACATAGGTTGAGAAATGTCCCTGACTGCCATTACTGTGGTGCGATGAGGTTTCAGTATGAGCCACCCGGGTTTTGTTGTAGAAAAGGAAAAATAAAAATACATATATCGGAGGTTCCTGTAGAGCTAAAAAGGTTGTTTACAAGTCAAATGCATGATGATGCAAAATATTTCAGGCAACATATACGATATCTCAACTCGCATTTCGCATTCACAAGCCTAGGGGTTACCCTTGACTGTAGATATAACACTCCAGTAGGGACTGGTATTTATACATTTTGAGTTCATGGCGGGTTGTACCATCGTCTAGATCACCTGGTGCCAGGTGGCCATGGCCCTCGGCATCTGCAGCTCTACTTTTAAGATACATAAGATGAGGCCTTGTCACACAGAGTCAAAAGGTCCCCTGATCTTGATATCAACCTCATCCGAAATATACTTACAATTTTACCGGATAACCCATATGTTCATACTTTTAGGAGAAATGGTGCTTTTCCAAACTTGGATGACTACCGGATTGAACTCAATACAAATGTCACGCCTGACCAGAGAAGGTACAATGCCCCAACGGCAGCCCAAGTTGCTGCTGTCTGGATGGAGGGGAACGATCCACAGAGATGTTTTGATAGGAGTGTGGTTGTATATGGAAGGACGGATTGTCGTCCGCAATATATCCGAGCATACCATGGTTGTTATGACCCATTAGCTTATCCTCTATACAACCCACGAGGGGAAACAGGATGAAACAAGTTTATGCCATACAGTGATGATCCAGTTAGTCAACCATCTGTAACCCCGGCTTCTACTAATGTTAATTACAGGGATGAGGGCACTACTGGTGCTTATCAAGGTATTATTTGTGCTATAATACTCCTATGGAATAATTATATTGTAGAATAATTTTTGTTATAATATTCCTACTATGGTGTAAGTATATATTAAAATAGAGATCTGACACATTTTTTTATATATGTTGCACCTGATAATTATAACGAAAATCAGGCAGAAGAAGGCGACAATGACCTACAAGAAGGTGACTGGCTAAGTAGAGTTGCTGATGCAGCACATTCTTCAAGATATGTGACTGTACGAGAATACTATTACTTTAAGATGCAAGTTAGACGGGGACTTTTTAACATTTTATTATTTGGAGGACGTCTTTTCCAGCAATGGGCTGTAGATATGTATATAAAGATCGAATCCATGAGGCTAGATTGGTACTCTAATCCTGAGAACCAAAAGCTTATACGGGCAGAGCTATACCAGGTAACCACTCAAATTATTTTGTTTATTTGTTTATGAACTTTGCAATCCTATTACTGTCTTTTTCTAATGTCGTACGTACTTAATTGTATTTTAGGGACTGGTTGATGTTATCTCTGCTAGAGAGACCTAGGGTTCTAAGGTTGGCAAGAGAATTGTGCTGCCAAGATCATTCCCAGGATGCGATCGAGACATGCAGCAAAGGTTCCTTAATGCTATGGCTATTGTGCAACGTTTTGGAAGGCCTGATTACTTCATCACCATGACATGCAATCCCTACTGGGAAGAGATAACAAGCAATCTCGAACTTGGGCAGGAACCACAAGATAAGCCAGAACTGGTTGCAAGAGTGTACATGGCAAAGTTGAGAGATCTAAAAGATCTTCTGATCAAGAGAAAGTATTTTGGTGATGTTGCAGCATATGTTCATGTTACCGAGTTCAAAAATTAATAACTTAACTTATTATATCTACTATGCACAGGTATCAAATTCACTGATGATGAAATTTTTGGGGGACATTCTTAAGAGCCATGCAAACAAATGTTTTGACAACTTTCCTGAAGATCTCTAAGTCATAATTAAGGACTTAGACAGAATATAACTTAAATGGTTATTATATGAGAAAAAACTTTACTATAACTTCTTAGTTTCCCGGATTATATACATGCTCAAAGATATTGTGTAAAAATTGAACTATGAAAAAAAACATTGGTTGTTTTCATGTGCGTCTTCAAGATAAATTCCGTTGTGTTAGCACGGACATTATACTAGTAATCTTAATTGTTTTCATCGGCCCTCTAGATTTTTTCTGCCAAATGCTAGCACTACTATGGTACCTCGTCCACGGGCAGGGCAGTCTTCCATTTACATTGGTGCTGGTCATTAAAAGTTTCATTTCATATAATATCGCAAAAACACATTTGTTTCCGTTTATAGCGTGGGTTCTTATTGCATCGTTCTAAAAACATACTATTGCCTTCCGTGCTCCTCTTAACACTTTTTTAAGATAATAGAAAGAGTATTCGGTTTATCCTCTAGATCGAGGAATCAGACCATATTATTACAAAAATCACACCACACCGATGGA